TTTGAGAAGGATTCCTGGTGACTTTTTTTTTTCCATTCTATTTCAAGAAAACGAAACAAAAAACACCAGTTGCAACCCACTAAGTTAATTTTACGGCCCCCCAACCAAGTGCTTCACCGACACGGTCACATTATGAAACACGCAGAATGTGCAGTGTTTCTCCTGTGCTCCGGGGCGATGGGGCTTGAGCAGCTCACGGCTGAAACAGGACTCTGGGTGCCACCTGAGGTACGGGGAGGGTTTTTTCTTTCCATTCTATTTCAAGAAAACGAAACAAAAAACACCAGTTGCAACCCACTAAGTTAATTTTACGGCTCCCCAACCAAGTGCTTCACCGACACGGTCACATTATGAAGCACACGGAATGTGCAGTGTTTCTCCTGTGCTCCGGGGTGATGGGGCTTGAGCAGCTCACGGCTGAAACAGGACTCTGGGTGCCACCTGAGGAGTACGGGGAGGAACAAACACTCCACGAGACAGAGTCACCCACTATGTCCTTGGCAAGCACCGCCCTAACGGAAGTTAGGGTAAGCCCTGGTGTACATCATGCAAACATTATTGGTCTCATCAATGAAACAAAACTGGGGAGAACCGTTACAAAGTAAGAGCCTGGATTATCATTAAAGCCTACAAGTTACTTTTGTATCTGAGCTGGTCCATTAAAACGAGAACAATTTGGAGTCGATTTTACAAGTCAAATCCTGTAACCATTAAAATAGGGTCTATGCCAATTTCTGCTTGAAGCTAGGTATGGCACCGAGGACACCTGTCCAGGTACAGCGGGCCCTCTTGCCGTGAAACACGTTTTGTCCTGTGTGGCCCTCACCCCCTTGTCGAGCTGGGGCACAGTCACGGGCCTGAAACGTGTCCTGCCGAGCATGACACGCTAAACCGCACACACACGCACTCGCACGGGGCACACAGGGCGGCTCACTGTTGACGCTGGTGGCTTCCGTCTTGCCTTCATCCTCAGTCACCAGGTCGGTCATCGTGAGCAAGTTGGTGTCAAGAGGGTCTGAGGGGGTCTTGCTCTTCTGCTCCTCGGCCACGGCCGGGCTCGGCTGGCTGCTGTCCAGCGGGGCCGGCAGGAAAACGGGGACGGGGACCTGGTTAAGCGGAGTGCGCACGGTCAGGTCCGGCGACAATGGAAGGTGTTTTTCCAAAGTAAAAATTTACCCTGGCAAACACCGTTCCCGACTGGATGAAAGCTCGGAAAGAACACGTGTCACAATTAAGATGGCGACGGTGGCCAAGAAAGCCCAGAACACAAGTAGCTGCTTTCTGAAATAAAAATGAAAGGAGACTGATTTTTGAGGTATTTCTGGCCCCCAAAGGACTACCGTGGCCAAGCCCTGACACAGAGTCCTAAGAAAGTGACTTGGAATGAAATAAGGTCATGTACGAAATTCTTCTCTGCTTCAGTTGTAAGCCTTACAGCTTCAGGAAGCTTCCTTTCTAAACTGAACTCTGACAGTTTAGTGTGAGTGTGGAGAGCAGACGTGACATCTGCTGGCCCCCTCCCTGCCCGACGGACACAGCCCCCTGACGGGGTCCCCCGCACCCACGTGCCGGGCCAAGAGGGCAGACTCCGTCACGCCCACCCGCGTCTCCGAGGCGGCGACTGTGACGAAGCCGCCCTGGCCGTGTCTGACCCGCCCCTGCGGAGCCGACGTGACTTACGGGCACAGGAAGGGTGGTGGGGACGGGGACGCTCTGGCTGTACATGTGCATGGGCACCGGGACGTACACGGGCACGGGGATGGGCACTGGCACGCGCTCCGCCTTCCAGTGGTCATCTGCAAATGCAAAGCGCGGTTACACGGCACTGTCCCAGCCCTGGTGACAGAGAGCTGAGCGCCTCGGAGCCCGTGGGACGTGTAGGCAAAGCGGGTGGCTCCAAAAGCCGCGCGCGGGGACACGGGGTAAGCAGCGCCCTCGGCGCCATGCGGGGCTGGCCCCGCCCAGGCCCCCGCACGCAAGTCAAACGCAGCGGGAACTTCCATCTGACGGGAATGCGAATTTGAATGATCTCGTCTCATTCTGACGAGGAAGCAGGATTGCCCGTGTCACGGATCAGAGTCACAGAGGTGACGTGCTCGGGGGTGGGGACACACACGCCAGCAGGCCTCGGCCGCCACCTCACTGCACCTGCGACTCACTTCTATTCTAGGCCTTTATCAGAGAGAACTTTCATTAACCATTCCAACTGCCGTGTGCTCAACAAAATGTCTACAACTGAAAAAGTGGCCCCCGAATCCATTCTGCAGCCTCCTGGCCGCCGGTTGAGGGGCGCGGGCAGGGAAGCACGAGGCCAGACCCCCAGTTACCTGTCTGACAGGATTTGGTCTGCATGTGAGGTTTACAGTAAGTGGCTTTCGTCATCGTCAGCGGTTTGCAGAGGACCGCTTTGTTCTTCATCTCTTTGTTAGGCGTCGGAGAAGGGGGTGGCGCTGAACCCTACAGAGAGGCAAAGAGACACGTTTCACTTTTACGCCAGTTTGAACACGGGGCTTCTCGGGCCTGTGCAGGGAACGGCGCGGGCAGAGGAGTCTGTGTGTCTAGCGCAGTCTTAGTCTGGAGGGGCCGGGACCAGGACCGGACGCCAGCTGGCTAAGCCGGTTCCCGGCAAAGCGGCAGTGATGGGCCGTCCGACAGATCTGTCACTGTCAAAGCGTACCATCGGCGTGTCTTTTAAGAAACACGGGAAGTCAATTCTCACTTTTAAGTACAGAAGCAAGGTGGTGAACCCAAATTTTGAATATAATTAGGCTCTTTAAAATTATTTGAGAAAAAAAAATTCTTGCAGTTACTGTGGCTATCTGATACTCCAGCTCCCTCTACTGGGCACAGAGCTAACAACAGCACTGAATTTGAAAAGAAAAATGACAAGTTGCCGATAACATTACGGACCACACTCGAGGTTGTGCACTTCCTGTGCCCCAGCCGTCGCCACTCTAGACGCTTGTCATAGGTACGGTCTCGCCGATGTGCTCGCCAAGGTCACCATGGCATCATGTGCGCGCGTGCACACAGACACAGTCTACAAGCTGAAGACTGCCCACAGCACGACAGATAAGGCGCTGCCACACCACCCACGGGGACGAGAAGGCACAGGGCATCGACAGGCGCGAGCCTTGCCCTGGAGGGAAGCACAAGGCGTGGCCCCCGCCAGCCTCGCCCGCCACACCGGCACCTGCGACCAGGACACAGCCTTGTTTCTGCCGAAACACACCATCATCATCTGCCGTGCAAGCTTCCTAGTAACAGTAGAGCGACCGCACCGGCTGCGGGCGCACTCCACAGTGCTCGCCGACTCCCGCACGGCACCGCGCTACAAGTCAGTGCCGACCACGCAGATTCGCGGTCAGCGTCACGAGAACACGCGCGTCTGGCTGTCGGCGGAGCTGCGGGATGGATGACGGGCAGTGCCCCGTGCGTGTGCTCAAAGTGCCACGGGTATGGACGGAAGGTCACAGAAATTTCAGAGTAGACGAATTCACAAATATGAATAATGAGGTTCAACTGCACTTAAATAAAGCACTGACCGCTTAAAGGTTCATTTGTGCGTGTTTACGGGACTAGGAGGTCATGAACAGAAGACGAGTGGCTCTCTCGCACGTCACAATGACACACAGGGCAAGGGGGTGGCACTAGCGTGAGCCACTCTACACCCACGAGGATTTCAAACCCCAACACCGATCAGCCGCAGACAGCTGTGAACGGGGGCTCGGCTCCAACACTGCTACTGGGTGGCACCAGGCCAAGCACCCAGGGTCCTGTGCCTTAGCTTCCTCCCCCGGAAAACGGGGAGAGTAAGTTACAACCAGGCACCGCGTGCTTACCACACACCCCACACGGGCAAGTCTGCTCGGACCTGGAGAGTACTCGGGACCCCCACTTAGGGACAGGATCCAAAATCATTCACATCCCAGTTACTCAGTGTTGCACCTCTCGTCACTCGGCAAATTCATATCACGTCAATTAAACTATGTCACCTGGTGATGCCTCCGACCCTTCTGCCAGTCGACAGACAGATCTACCCCTGTTTACGATGAAGAAGGATCTGCAATGAAAGCTCTAACAAAAGCTGCCATCTGCCGAGTCCCTGCCACATGCCGGGGACCACGTGCTCTAGGCACGGAATCCGAAGGTGCAGACTTCAGGTGGTGATGGGGTCGGGGGACCGGTGCCCTAACGGCAGAGCTCCCTCGCCCCGTCCTTCTGCCACGTGAGGACACAGTGAGGAGGGGCCCTCACAGACCCCAGATCCACTGGCGCCTGGATTTGCAGCTTCCGGCCTCCAGCCCCGTGGGAACTGACTTGTGCTGTCTGTGAGCCTCCTCGTGTGTGGGATTCTGTGACAGCAGCGCACACGGACGAGGACACCGTGCGAAGCACCAGTCACGTGGTTCCTGAACGAGTGATGCTCCTAACACGACAGAGAGGTCTCCTCAGCACTCGCACCTGGCAGATGAGAGGACGGAGGCTTGGAACTCACACAGCCTGGCAAGGTGACAGGGCCACAGGTCCTGCCGTCAGGGCTGCGGTGGCTCCCTCCGAGGTCAAACCAGAAGACTGAGCCATAAGATGCGCGGCCCCCGTGAGGTACGTCCCGGAGCGGCCCCGAGGCAGGTCCTGCCTCCAGCCCACTCTACAAACGAGGACAGTCACCCAAGGACCAGTGAGGTGACCTGCCCACAACCACACAGCTACGCTCCCGTCTGTGGGGCACGACAAGAGTCCAACAGCGATGAGGAAAAGCCGGGGGAGGGCTTTCCGAGATGCAGACGAAAGGCCGCAGCCCCAGGGCACGGTGGCCGGCCCTCCCCACTAGGCAGGATCCTCCAGCCCCATCGCCACATCCGGGAGCGAGAGCTGAGCGAGGAGAGTGCGGGGCACTGTGCCGCAGAGCGTCCTGCCGCCTCGTGTCCACACAGGTGGGGGGTTGCCTGGCGGCTGCACAAACACAGCAACCAGGAGTGAGCGTCACCATGCTCCTGGTATTAAAATCAGGTGATTCTGCTGAACACATTCATATGCTTCTTAAAAATATACTTCGACAAGGCAGGACAGCAAAGGAAAAGGCACCTTCTCTTTTCTAGAATCCTGTCAACTATTAACATCAAAAACAAAAACTGAATGGAATAATATAAAAACACCAATGTTTTTCTATCAATATCAGTGATCAACATTACTGACCCCACGCTGTGGACACACATTAAAATCAACTGAAGAATTTTTCAAAAATACAGAATCTCCGAGTTGGGGCACGGGCATTGTAAAGTTTTGAAAATCTGCCTGGCGATTCCAGCCAGAGCTAAGAACCACGAACCGAGTCTTAGAGGACGAGAACCGGCCCAGACACTCGCCGCGATGCCCATGAAGGACTCCTCGAGCCCCCGGGGGAGACGCAGCAGCACCAGACCGCAGGGCCAGCGACCACGGGGTACACGGGGGTGGCCTGCTGCACGCCAGCACGGCAAAGCACCGCTTCCCTCCACTCATGACACACAAACGGCCACTTTCCAACTCCGTAAGTCTTACATCGCTGACATAACAGCGGAATTTGATGTATTATACCAAAAGAAAAAGGACTGAAGAAAAACACCCCGAAGGACACATCGTGGAAGTACTTCTCAAACGTGAAAGCCTGCAAGTCCCTGCCCTGGACGCAGAGGCACCCCTCGGTCGGCCCGGCCGCCGTGACTCCACCACGGACCCCGTGAGCCTGGCCCGGTGCCCAGCTCTGCCGAGCGTGATTATTATTCCTCCGACGTCCCATCCCTGGGGCCTGGCACCCCCTTCCACTCCACTGTTTAGAAGGTTTTCACAGCAGCCAGGGACAGACACGGGACAGACACAGGACAGACACGGGACAGACGCTCTGTCGCTTCCCATGCTCTGCTGCTGTCCTGACAGTGAGCACACAGTGGGGCTTTGATTTGAACATGGCCGGCGCGGCCGCCCCGTCGTGTGTGTGCGCGTGTGTGTGCGCGCGGGGTAGTTAATTCCCCTTCCTAGTCCGCAGCCCGCGACAACGTGCCTGTCTGAATCAGGTAACTCGGCTGAACACTTCGACGGTCTCGACGGAGTAAGGTGAAACACTCTTAGTTATCACGATCAGGTTAAACTGGACTGATTATTGTTTTATCCCCACATTATAAAAATCAGTACATAGCGCTTCGCTTCAGCAATACTTACGGTCATTTTGGTTCGGGACGTCTGACAGCCCTGATCTAAAAACACAAACAAATTGAAAATGAGACAGATATCACTTCGTTCAGAATTTTCCAAATCTATACTTCTTACTAATTTTATTAATTTTTAAAAGATAATTACTTAAGAAAATTTAAAAGCAATTGTAAGTAAAGAACATCAAATCTGAGAGCTGAAACGCAGAGCCAAGTAAGCGGGACTCACTCTCCTCCCACTGTGTCCCCTCAGGAAGCCACACTGCTTTGGGGGCAATTCCGCGTTCTCAGGCGGAGCCTGTAATTCAGCCCCGTCTCTCAAGGGCTTCCTGTCCCTCCCGACCTGCTCCCATCCGACATCACAGATGGCGCACACCAGGTGGGGGGTTTCTTAGAAATGTTGTTATAATCCTGTTTAGCTCTTTCCACCCCCAACTAGACTCTTCCTTCACCGGCATTCCACGTTTGAAGGAGAACAGGATGAACGGCAGCCGGGCGGGGCGAGGCTCGGCCGCCGGGACGCACCGTAGTGCAGGTTCTCGGGCCCCTTCTGGGTGGTCATGTTGGGCTCGTTCTGCTGGCAGTAGAAGCGCAGCAGGCAGTGCTGGTCGCAGAAGTGCTTCATCTCGCCGCGCCACTGCACGCGCTCCCGCAGCGCGCCCTGGGACTTGCAGCAGTCACACCGCGCGGCCTGCGGGGAGAGGGGGGGGCACATCAGGCGCGGGCTCCCGGTGCCACAGCGCAATGTTCGATAAAGATACACTTGAAACGTAAATCGTAAACACACAGTAAAACCCACAAAAGTGGGGGAAAAAATGTGCCGTTTCCTAACTGTCAAAATCCCTTTCTAGTGCTCACCGGAAGTCAGAGACCAGCATTACAGAGATCTCGTGAGCAAAAAGGGTGAACACCGGTAAACCAAACTGGTACGATCTATTTTAATGTTCTGTGAGATGCCGGTGAAGTCTCCCACAGTCGTAGGGCACTGAAACCCGATTAATGAACGGATTTCACGCATCCACTTAAAGAAGTTACATAAGGCCCAAATAATTCTGAAACTTGTAGATGAGAAAATCACAGAAGTTAACGCAAAGTATTTTTGTTTCTCGACGTTTCATATAATAAATGTGAAGAGCTTTAATAAATACACTGATTTAATGTTAGGAAGAATTTCATGTTTTAGAATTGTTTCAATTAATTAAAAACCATTATATTTTAATACAAAAATCTGACCTACATCTAGGAAAACCATCGGCCCTAATGGGTCTACAATTTAATATGCAAAATAAAACCCACTAAAATGCATATGTAACAAAAGTTATACTTTGATGATGGTGAATCAATAATCTGGACACAGATTTTTTTTTTAGAAATCCCATTTTCCCTAGGTTTTGCCCATTTTTCACTTTTTCTTAACATCTTGATCATTAAGTGGACCAAAAGATAAAAACAATTAATTTCAAACAGTTCTTTTCATAATAAAGAAATTTCATAATTTATGATCGAGTTAGATTAGAATTACTAAAAATTTTTAAATTACCCTTTGGTTTAACTTAGAAGTTTTGATAAGCAATAAACGCTAAGTCTTTTATAGCTCAACGCAACCACGACTGCAGCCCGTCCTCATTCTAAACTCTCCAGTTTCACACCGTGCATTCTGACTCCCACTTCATGTCCCAGGAGGCGTTCTGGGGATAAGTCAGGACCACACAAACGACTGTGTTGGTAAACGGGTCTCATACGGCAGCAGACCCCGAGGTTAGAACACGGGCTTTTTTCACCAGGTCACGTATTTCTCCTGCTCAGTAAATGTTAAACGTATGAAGATTTGTAGTATAAACTACGACTGTTCAGTGACGCCAGCATCATATCTGTTGTCCAGAGACTCGTGAGCTCGACTCGCGTACTGCTGGGGACATTGTGCGGTGAGCTAACATTAGCACGGGACATCAGCCAGGCCATGTTTACTCGGTAATGAAAGGACCCTACATAAAATCCTCACCAGCCAAAGACCGCTCTTTCGAATCACCATTAAAATGGTCCAGAAAAGACAAAGGAAGGAACTGAAAGCTTAACATTCTACTCGTTGAGCCCAAACATGCGAGAACATGGGAAGCGCAGCGACAGCCGATCACCTCGTCCCCTGAGAACCCGAGACATCAAAGTCAGCACCTCACACCGAGTCCCCACGATCCTCACAAACTAGGGTCCGAATCGGCACGGTCACCTGTCCGAGGCCAGACATTAACATGGCAGAGACAGGGTCTGGCGCCAACGAGCCAGCCGAAGCCTGAGCCTTGCACGCTGAGCTGCTGCGTGTGTGGAAGCTGCTCGGAGAGCAGGTCGCAAGTGCCCTCACTCACGAAGGCGCCTGCGATACAACTTCACGATGTGTGCACGTGAGATCATCACGTCGTACCCTTTAAGTACGTTACTATTTTATTCGTCAATGGTACCTCGACAGAGCTGGAAAAAAGTGCTCAGAGATGTACCCTCTGAGTTTGTGCATTTTACTACAAATTATAAAATAAAATACTCGGGTCATAAAAAAAAATAGTACGCTAAGTTATAAAAACGAGTGACTGCGAACAGTCAGAACCCTAACGGAAGCCAACGCTCCGAGACCCACGTGGCACCTGAACCGTGTCGATCTGCGTGAAACTTGTTGGAGTCGCTCCGTGCACTCCAGACCCTCAGTCCGCGGTGACGCTGCCATTCGCACATGCCTGAGAAGGCTGGGGACACGGGACTCAGGTCGTTCCGCCCGAGGAACCTGAACAACGAAGCCACTTCAGCACATTGGTTACAGGCGTTTGGGTCTTGTAGCAATGACCGCTGAAGCTCCTTTCTTCCAGAAGGTTCAAAACAAATGGAGACGAGTTCTCTCTATCCGGACAAAAAGGAGCAAGATTACTGCCAATTTGCAGATGGCAATAAACGTGTGTATTTTTTCGGGATGAAAGAATCATCTCAGAACTCGAAAGTGACGCCACGTTTGATGCCATAACCAAAACGCCCAAGGCCGTGCACCTTTCTCGTTCGTCCGTTTTTCTTTCGCAGCCATGCATGCATACGACCTGGCAGTGTTTGGAATCGAGCTAAAAACAGGACAGCCAACTTGGGAGCTTCACCAGTGACTGCCCATCACGCCTCACCAGCACCTCCCGACCGCGGAGGCCCCGGAAGCCTAACGCCACCTCGGCGCAAAACTGCTCAGCTCCAGTGCTGCCAGGTCTCTGGCCAAAAACACTACGCCGTCATCCGCTTAGCGGTTTTCCTGTGACTGTGGGAAATCAGGGATTATATGATATTTGGGGGGGAAAAAAAGTCACTGATTCAAACCATCTAAATTCAAAAACCGTAATCCAACCTCTCGATTAACATAGGAATCTCTTCTCTAGTAACTGACAAAAGGTCACCCAGCCTGCACTGATGCCAATGCTTCACATTGCTTGGACGACTTCAACTTCTCGTTTGTGGCAGATATATACACATCCTTGTAACCCTCCCACCCACCTGCTCCCCATCACACCAAGCACACCGAACTCTGCAGGGAGGCGGGGAATCGTGAACATAAACCGAACGGGATTTGACAGTCACTTTAAAAAGCAACGCTTTATGATTCCCCAATGTAACCTTTCTGAGTACGAAAGAGCGATTCATTTTTTTTAAATGCAGTGATAAAGAGTAGGTGACTGGGTACTATGCAAAGCATTAAGTGACAAGAATTATTCGTTTACGCAAAAGCACAATATTAAAGCAAGATCAGATATTTCCTTTCTAAATTAATTTCAAAAAACAAAGAATGTTTCTGAAAAAAATCAATTATTTCTAGCAGTTAAGACAAAAAAAAGTAAATATCCAGTAACATTTTTCATTCTGCCCGCCTTTATATAAAAGCTAAGACTGACTAAGACGTTAAGTGTTCACTTGATTAAGGCCCATTAGACCCCACAGGATCTCTGCATTAAAGAGCTTAATACTGCCACCCACCCACTGTCAGTTTGTGAAACAAAGCAAAACCTATGTAAAAAAGCTATAATTTGAAGCAAAGTTTAAGAAAGGCTTACTGGTTCTCTTAAGAAGTACTGTGTAGTATTCTTGGCAAAGAGTGGGCCTTCTGCATTATCTCCACTGTGGGTCAAACACCTCACTATTACTCAACTACAATACTGAGTCCTTTTTTCTCCAAAACTTTAAACTTACACAGGTCAAAAGAACTATCCTTCCCACCTGGGTTCATATTATGCCTGGAAACATTTATTTTGAGGAAAAGTAAAATCTACTTTCTTCTAAAGAGTAATCTGGGAGAAGAAAAAACATCAAATTTATTGCCAGCATATTTTGGTTGCATGATTCAACAGATTCTGTATTCCAATTTAGAAGAGACAGTATTTAATAAATCACTATTTAAAAACCCAAAAAAGCAAAACACACATCATTAAAAATGTCATGTTAGTTAACAAAAAAAAAAGCAGAAATTTTAAAAGTATAATAGTAAATACTTAAAAAGTAAATGAAAACGTCCAGTTTCTCAGATTCCAGTCCAGGCAGCCTCCCGCTGAACAGAGATGGAGGGAGCCAGCCCCACGTGCTCCTGGGGAGGCAGCAGGCGCTCGGGAAGAAGGCGAGCTCGCAGCTGGGCTGGCTACTTGCTTTCAGAGATTCCTTGAGGCACTTTCTTGGGGGCATCGTTTTTCTCATAAAACTTAGACTAGTAAGGGTCACATATTTAATGGACTAAACTCTAAATTTCTGAGTTCTTAAAATTAAAAAAGTGGAAGGGGGAAAAGGGTCAAAAAAATCATAATTTGGTAGGCACTCGATTAACCGGTTTCAGGACGGGTGAGTGGCAGGGGCTTCAGGGCGGCGTGCAGTCGACGTGAGCAGAAGGCGCACGGGTCACAGACGTTCTCGGGCCACCCGCCCTCGCCTCAGGGGTACCCACCGGCTGCAGGGGAAGTTGGCACTCCCACTGGCTTCACAGACCGCGACTGTGACCACACG